AAAGTGGACCGTGTCGTGCGCAAGTCTTTTGTGTAATGAACGTTACTTTCGGTAAAAAGGGGACATACGGCCAGACAAACATTAAAGGCAGGCCAATCTTGGCCGTAAGGTACTTCAATTTTGAGGAGGCGTGCGGCCAATTTTGAAAGGCACGACGGCCATTGGCCGCGGTGCCGCGGCTTATGTCTAGCCCTGCTATATGAAGTAATATTTGTTGGGGGTGTATCCATTTTTGCATCACCTGATTTGAGTAAAACTGAAATTTTTGTAATCTAATTTATATTATTAACCTTACTTTCATGATCATGAGTTAAGGAAATGTTCTATAAAACTCTTGTCAGGTTTTGGAAATTGTTCTTGTGTTTATTGAGATATTGATTGAAATATCTTACTTTTAAAAGGGAGTGTACTCATTTTTGCTGAGCACCTATGTACAATAATATGTGCTCCTTTGTGGACCTTGGAAATTCTATATTTTTCATAACTACAATGCCAGCTCATGCCATCAAGGTGGATGTCTATTGCTACTGCAGGCGATTATTCAGGCAGGTAAGGACCCAATTATTCACTGCAGGAAATATAATAAGCTGTCTCATCAGGTCTGTTTACCACTGTTTCTAGTCCATATCCTGGAAACCTGGTAACACATTCAGATGCTCAGCAGTAAGTATGATTCATTCATTTATTTATTTCAATTTCTGATTTCAAAAACTTTAAATATAAAAATATAAAATGGTATACAAAATATATAACAGAAAACATAAATAAAATTTGCACATACAATATTTTTAAAATGGCAAATAAAAAAGAAAGCGGTACCTGTGACACCTCCAAAGGGCCCATAGGTCATGTTGCAGGCGGTTCTTTGCAGGTTATGCTCATACATCAGCTTAATCTGGTACTGGATGCCATGGTCCACATTGCCTGCTGTGGCTGTGGAAACATATGCACAGGGCTCCATAATAGCTTTTTGTTTGTTTTAAAAAATCAGACTGCTTCATTTTTTGGAACATGTTAGCACCATAGCTAAAGAGATTGTTTTGCTCATTTTATCAGTGTGCATATACATACATACTCCCTTGTGCAGATAGAGACCAACTCAGCAAAAAAAAAAAAATACACAGAAGATGAAAATACATTGAAGATGAAAAAATAAACTTTCAATCACAATTCGTTAATGCAGTACTCATGCGAAAGCAAAGCATCCTAATGCTTCTCATACACTGTGATGATACCAAGTAACATTTTAACTCGCACACTCTCAAAAAATGGTCTGATTCTGGATCCAGTAGGATGATGGTTTGTCACGATGGGCCACCTAAAGCAGTCTCAATGGGATATTATAACTAATGAAAAAATAAAAATAAGCACAAATATGACAGCGAAGAAAACACACAAAAGTAGGAAATGTGATAAGACAACTCTAAAATGCCCTTAGGATGTTCACGTGAGTGCATAAGTAGTCATGAGAAATCAATGAAAATGTTACAAAACAGGAAATCAAATGTGACTGATATTAGTGCCGCATATGTTAATGGTGCCTAGTGGTATCCCAGTAATTTAAGGGTACCTTACCTGTGACAGCAAAAACAGATAGCTTTTTGGGATGTAGGACGGCCAGATGCAGAAGATCTGAACACCTGCAGAATACGTAAAACCACATAAAACAGGGCACACTACAATCAATAGTCACTTTATTTGTTATCAGAGCCATTTCAAGGTACTAGTGAATGTGATTTTTTTTATTAAGCTCAGATTTCTTAAAGAAGGTGCAAAGAATTATTTTAAATTTGTGCACAGTGGACATATTTGCAATGTGGCCATGTTCAATTCTTTGCAAATAATGACCAATAACAAATAAAAATAGAGTTGCAAGCAGTGATTAGAGGAGTCCAAGTACAATGGGCTAGCAGACTGAAGACAAACAGAACGTATGTTCTGGCAGATGGTCCACATAGGGACTAGGGCTGTAAGAGCACATGTATTCATCATGTACTGCTCAGGACATAATTTTTGGTTCCGTACATACAACAAAAATAACATACATATTTACTGACACAGGAGAAACCTAAATTCACAAGTAGGTGTTCAACACAGAAAACATTGTGCCGATTGTGGCTAGGGATGTCACTATCGATTACATTAATAATCAAGTAATATACTGATTAATGTGATGATTAATCGAGTAATCATTTTGGTAACTTTACTTAAAGGTATCATCCAAAATGCATTATAGATACCTTCATAATACATTATAATCTTCTACTGACTGTCATAAGGCACTGAAGTGTTGATTATAATTCTTCATAAGCTCCAATGAAGCTCTCACCTCTAATGCACTATAGATACCATCCTAATGCATTATAATGGTTGGTATAAGAATTAAGGATGCTTTGAACTCCATTATGGTGATATCCATAGTGTATTATAGATGAAAACTTCATAAAGCATTCATCATGCATAATAAATATGGCTATGATGTTTTATGCTTTTTTATTAATATTTCTTGCCACGTTTATAATGCTTTATGGATGCATTATAAGAACATAAGAAATTTACAAACGAGAGGAGGCCATTCGGCCCATCAAGCTCATTTGGGGAGAACTTAACTAATGGCTCAGAGTTGTTAAAATCTTATCTAGCTCTGATTTAAAGGAACCCAAGGTTTTAGCTTGCACTACACTAGCAGGAAGACTATTCCATACTCTAACTACACGCTGTTTAAAGAGCTTCCTCAAATTCATTTTAAAATGTTCTGCTGTTAATATCCACTTATGGCCACAAGTTCTAGTATTTAAACTATTATTGAAACAGCATCCAGACTTGTTATAATCTTATATACCTGGATCATGTCCCCCCTTATTCTCCTTTGCTCGAGGCTGAACAGATTCAACTCAGCTAACCTCTCCTCATAAGACATTCCTCTAATCATTCTCGCAGCTCTACGTTGCACCCTTTTCAAGGCAGCAATGTCCTTCTTCAGGTATGGTGACCAAACCTGCACACAATATTCTAGGTGGGGTCTTCCCAAGGAATTATATAAATGTAACATCACCTCCCTTGACTTAAACTCCACACACCTAGAGATGTAACCCAACATCCTTTTGGCATTTTTTATCGCTTCCCCACACCGGCGATAGTGGGACATGGAAGCATCAACATTCACACCGAGATCTTTCTCGTAATCAGATACCTTTATTTCAGTGAAACCCATAAAATATCTGTACTTTTTATTTCTGCTCCCTCCGTTGATTACCTTACATTTATCGATGTTAAATTTCATCTGCCAGGCATCAGCCCAGTCGCTAATTAAATCAAGACCCCATTGTAGCCTCTGTGCTGCTAGTTCAGTATCTGCTACACCATCCACCTTGGTGTCGTCTGCAAATTTCACCAGTTTACTGTATATATTGGTGTCTATATCTTATGTAAATTAGGCCCACTGTGACATTGTGCCTCTTATAACTACTCGCTGCTTCCTATCTGTTAACCAGTTATCAATCCAG